TGTATCACCCTGTTCAAAGAGATTTAACCCATTTTTTGCCACCCCTGTCCAAATCACAAAACATTCATTATCACCTAATCCTAAACCACTGTCCTCTCCATTCTATGGTTCCTCCTCCACCATATGTAGTGTAAATGAGCCTGGTAGCAGAACATCATCGAGTGGAAATCTGCTGAAGTCAGGAATTAGGCCTCCTCTGCCAACCAGACTCTCTCTTTTAACTGCTATTTTGAAGTCAGGTGCATCTCAGCAAAGACCACTCTCCTCTGCATCCTGTCCCCCTACCTTTTCTCCTAACTCCCTTCACTCCTCCACACTCACAATAGATCAAAAGTTTAACACAAGTCCACCTCCTCCTAAGAAATCTGTCTCAAGCTTTTCTATTAGGTCAAACTCTCCAAGCGAAGAGGAACATTGGCCTTCAATATTTTCTCACCCACCCAGTCATATGCCTTTGGCCACAAAGCCCATTTCTACTCTTCGGGCTAGATCCATTTCCCCTAAAAAGCACCTTCATGCCAGAACACATTCTCCTGACTCTTTATATCCTCTGTCATCTTCTATTTCTTCCTATAAAAAAACAGTTGTGTCCCCACTGTTACAACCTAAATTATCTTCAATACCTCCCGCTGTCCCAAAGCACTCTTCTTCCCTAAACCCTGCATTTTCTCTTACAAAACCACTGCCTTACCCTGTCCGCAAATCCCAAGGACCTGAAAAGTCTAGGAGAGTCCACACCTACTCACCTACTTTCACTTGTAAATCATATCCTGTGTCCTCTCCTGCCAACGAAAGGGGCACATTCTCCCCTACCCTAGAAAAATGTTTCTCCTCTTCTCCAAATCTTACACACACAGCCTGTACAAAAGCAGGTTCATCCCAGTTGTCTGCTCAGGAATTGAATCCTATCTCCCCTACTCCTTCAAATGTGTCAACTCATTGGTCTTCCTCACCTGCTAATTCTACACTGCCTGTTCACGCACCTTATAATATTCATTCCCACTCACCACAACTTACTTCCTCCTCACTGCCCCCAAGATCCAGAGTTTATTCCTCAGCTGCAAGACCTGGGGAGATGCCCACCATATCAGTAGCACCATGCAGATCTCCTGTCCCAGGACAGTCACCTTGTACACCATTATCCAGATCCAGGGAGCTGATTTCACCAAAGACTTTTTCCCTGCCTCTTGATCATGAAAACCTGAAACCTAAGGTACTTGTATTGCATGCTTATTTTCTAATAGACCTTTATCTTCACACAAAAATTAAACCCGGTTTGAAAGGTGATAGTAACATTAAGCAACTGGGAACATTTTTTTAAAAAGAGCAAAACTTACTGTATTAATGGTTTCAAGGGGAAGCTGAGTTAGTCTGTACAGGATAAACTTACAAAAACAACAAATAGTCTGGTAGCACTTTACAGACTAACAAAACATGTAGATGGTATCATGAACTTTTGTGGGCACAACCCACTTCTTCAGATGGTTTGAATTCAAAATCATAACATCACGTGTTACTAAAAGTAAGTTTTACATTATGGAAATTGCTACATCAAGAGTTGGTAGCATAGAAAGATATTGTCAACAGGTGGGAGGTGGGGCTGGTGGAGGTTTACTTGTTGGCCATTGTTTGTCAATAGATACGATTAACTTTAATTTTTATAAAATCCAAATAAAACATTGCTGGATATAATATTAGTAACTAAACATGTTCTGTTCAAGTTAAGAGAGCAAGTCCTCAACAGGTATAAATCAGCATCGTTCCCCATTGAAAACAATGGAAGGGCATCCATTTATATCAGAGAAAGAATTTGCTGTTGGCCCCTCCTGCTGTTATGCCTGACAATCTGCAAGTTTTGTCTAAACTCCCAGCTATTCTATAGCACTGTCCTAATCTATTTGCCTCATTTTGCTGTGTTCACATGCTGAGGAAGAGCAGTGTGTAGCTTGAAAGTTTGTCTCTCTCACATACGTACAGAAGTTGGGCCTAAAATATATTACTGTGGCCCACTTATCTCTCTACTACATAGATACGTTGTCTCCTCTGACTTGGTAGTTAAATCACCCTACTTAGTGCCTCTGCTTCTGTGTCCTTGTTGTAAATTCTGCATTATGAAAAAGGAAACCTCCCAACTAGGTTTGCTGCTGGATAATGTCTGCCATGCACTCTGCTGAGTCAGCTGTGCCTCCATTCTTTGTCACTCCAAGAAAGAGGTGGCAATTCCCAGCAGGAGGAGGACAAGACGTAAAGGCCATTGTTGTAAGAGGATTTGGACCTCAGTGCCTTTTAAAATGCTTGATGTGGAGAGCAGAATAAGAAAGAAAAAAAGAATTGTGCAGGAAGAAAGGGAAAGATGGCTGAACCAAAAAAGGATGCAACACATGTGTATATGTTAGAAAAAAGTTAGAAAATACAAAAGAAGAGATGACAGAAGCAGAATTCGTGGTTTTCTGTCCTCCAGAGCCATGATTCTGCACTGTCCATATTTCTTTATTCCTCCTATTTCTAACGCTTTACCTCTCCTCTTAGAGACAATGTACAGTTACTATATTAGAAGTTATGTAATTTTTATTCATAATCTAGTTATACTGTAGTTTCCTGGATCAATTTGAATCAGGTAGAAGCTCCTAACAGCAGAGCCCTGCATGCACACAAAATTTGTATCCTGTAGCCTCATCCATACCTGCAAAAATGAGCCACAGACATCAGCATCCACATCCACAGATGTGGATACCTGCCGATATAATGCAGATATCCACGGATTTGCAAGGCTTTAGCTAACAGCATTTAGCAGGTGCAAGAAGTTGTAATAATTGTAACTAAATCAAGCTAGTCAAATTCAGACTAGAAACACAGCACAATTTTTATCAGTAATATTTACCAATAATTAACTACTGGACCAACTTTCCCAGGAGCATTGTGGATTCTCTATCACTTGAACTCTTCAAATACAAATTGGACATTTTCCTAAAAGAAATACAGGCAGTCCCCAGGTTACGTACAAGATAGGGACTATAGGTTTGTTCTTAAGTTGAATTTGTATGTAAGTCGGAACTGGCTCCAGATTCAGCTGCTGCCACTGAAACTGACCAGGGGCTGACTACAGGAAGCCAGAGGCACAGTTGCTCTGCCCCCAGCTTCCTGGAATCAGCCTGATCAGTTTCAACAGCTGCTGAATCTGGAGCCTGGAACAGAACAGCTGGGGCGCTGCCCGGTAGGTTCCCATAGGACCAACCCGGCAGCACCCCAGCTGCTCTACCAGAGGCATCCCGCAACAAAAGCCTGGTCTGCTGGGGGGG